TTTAATTTTTAACTTGATTTTCTTTTTTTTCTCGAAGTTGTGCTCTCTTTTTATTGATCATTTCCTTTTCTAAAATTGACTATTTGTTGTTTATCTAAAAAGAATGTGTTATTGTATTGTGTTTACTTATGTACATGATTTAAAACTCTTCCCTATTGTTTACTTAGAAAACAATTCAAATCTATTTCTTTAACCTTTGGTTGCTTGAACTATTTATCTTAGGAAGTAACCATTTACTCTGTCAAAGAAGAAGATGAAGTTTTCTTAATATTTATTGAACTCTTGCTAAGATTAAAATTCTTTTTTCTTATTGTACTGGGGATTGAACTCAGAGGCACTTTAACCACTGAGCTATATCCTCAGCCCTTTATTGTTTTGTTTTGAAACAGTCTAAGTTGCCAGGGCTGGCATCTAACTTGCAATCCTCCTATCTCAGCCTCCCTAGTTGCTGGGGTTACATTGTGTGCTGTTGTGCCTTGCCTAGAATTAAAATTCTGTAGTACTTCTTTTTATACAATGTTTCCATTATCATTAATTATGTTATCCATTTTGTGACTGAACCATGAACCATATTTATTTTTGTAACACTGAAACTGTTATATAGTAGATGCTCAATAAACATTTTAAAACTATTTTTTAAGTTGTTAATGGAATTTTATTTACTTTTATGCAGTTCTGAGAATCGAACTCAGTGCCTCAGACATGCTAGGCAAGTGCTTTACCACTGAGCCACAACACCAGCCCCAATTTTTTTTAAGTGTACACCATTCCCTCCCCCACCCCCCAGCATGCTGGGGATCAAATCTGGGGTCTCATGCATGCTAGGCAAGTGCTCTACCACTGGGCTACATCCCCAAACCCTTATTTTTTTCCTTTTATTTTATTTCTGGGGGTGGGGGGTGGGGGGCAGTGGTGTAAAGTTCTGGGAATTGAACTCAGGGTTACTTTACCACTGAGCTACATCCCTAGCTCTTTTTAATTTCTATTTTGAGATGGTCTTACTAAGTTGACCAAGTTGGCCTCAAACTTATTGAGACTGGCCTGGAATTTGCAATACTCCTGCCTTAGCTTCCCAAGTCCACTGGGATTTCAGTTGTGTGCCACTGCACCCAGTTCTTCATTTCTTTCAGTGGATTTATGAGGAAGAAATAAAGAAGATTTTTTACAGGTAGGTAGGTAGTAGGTAAATAAAGTCAGCCGATCCATTTGGAGTAAAGAAGGAAGAAAATGGTGATGTGTGCTCAGTCAGTGTCTTTATTCATAATTTTTTCCCACTCTGACATTGTTTGCATCCTATTTCTATCCTATTTCTTTCACTGTGGCTTCCAGCTCTTTTAGGTCTGCAAATGTATTTAACTGAGTGACTAAGTTAAAAGATGTCTGGAAAGCTATTATATACTGTCTTAGGTTGATCTGAGTCAACAGGGAAACGGATTAGTGATGAATGATATGATTATCTTGCTGTTGAAGGCTCTACTATGTATGGAAATTGCTACAAAAAGTTTACTGTTTTCGGCCTCATAGTGCTTCTTATTGTTGATTCTATTCTCTGACTCCTGTCCTAGAATTGAATGTGTGCAATTCTGCCGACAGCTTCCATGGGACTAAATGAGGAACAGAAAGAATTTCAGAAAGTGGCCTTTGACTTTGCTGCCCGGGAGATGGCTCCAAATATGGCAGAGTGGGACCAGAAGGTAGGAGTTTTCCTTATGACTAGATGTTTCAACATGTGCCACATTAGCAACCTTTAACTTCAGCTCCTTATGATCCTAAATGCTCAGTGTCTGTTACCAGCTTTTAGTGCAAGTAAGAGGATTGGTAATAGGTGATTTCTTTCACAGACGGTATCTGATCATTTTGTAGATACCTTTTTTCCTTTCTTATTGATCAAATACTTAAAACTAAGGCAGTTCTATAGATAATTAAAAAGGAAAACTTGTTAATCCTAAGAAAACAATTCTTAGAGGACACACATTAACCTATACTATTGTAGGATGACAGACACATATTAAAAGAAGCCCTATACTCTCCCAAATGCAAACATCCTGATCACCTCATCATAATACCCTCTAAAGGAGAGTCCATCTCTGAATCAGTTACTGATGACCCTGCTCTCTTTTTCTGTATGTAGGAGGTGTTCCCTGTGGGTGTGATGCGGAAGGCAGCCCAGCTAGGCTTTGGGGGGGTCTATGTCCGCACAGACGTCGGTGGGTCTGGACTGTCAAGGCTTGATACCTCTGTCATCTTTGAAGCCTTGGCTACAGGCTGCACCAGCACCACAGCCTACATAAGCATCCACAAGTGAGTGCCCAATCTGGGAAAGCAAAGTGAGGTATTCATGTGAATTGACTGGGGAATTTCAAATTTATAAGGAAAAGATTGATCATGTAGGTGGATTGCTCTTAAGTAACTAGATTGTTAGTAGTTCACACTAGGTCTGTTACTTCCTGTTGGACTTGATTCTGTTATCTTTTTCATTGCTCAGAGTATCAGGTCTTCCAGCCCCCTCCAATCCTAGTTTAAGTTGGTACCAGCAGACTTCTCCAGTAGAGTGGTCAAGTCCTATCACCCTTTTCTTCAATCTACAGATGAAACTTCCAGGAATTTGAAGTTTCATCTGTATTATTTTATAGGAAGTACATGGGATTGATTTTTAGAGGCTTATTTAACTTAATTAGATGTAGTGTCCACATCCAGGTGAGAAATATCTTGTCCCTGGTTATCTTTGAGTAGTACATATTCCAAGAATATGTTTAAATCTAGTCCTTTAGTTTTAAATTTGATTCTTCTCAGTTATGACTTTTCGTTTCCCATCTTTCTTCTGCTTAACTCTGTTTCGTTGCTCTTTGTTCTCCCTATTCCATTTCCTTTTCTTTTCTGTCTTTATTTCCATCAATGTCTTTTCTTATATATCATTCAGCATGTGTGCCTGGATGATTGATAGCTTTGGAAGTGATGAACAGAGGCACAGATTTTGCCCACCACTCTGTACCATGGAGAAATTTGCTTCCTACTGCCTCACTGAACCAGGTGAGTTTGCCATCCCACAAGCGAGAACTAACTGGGAGTGATATGACTCGTGTAGTCACTGAACATTCCTTTCCCATTGACATACATAACCACTGTTTACAAAGCAGTTTGGCCATGGAATAATAAGAGCCTGTAACCTGAAGTCACAGGACCTAGTGGCCTTTAGGTCAGATTCCCTCCTGCTGCAGACCAGAACCTTCTTGCAAAAGGTTAACTGCAAGCTAGAGTGTTGGGAGAGGTGAAGTAGTCTGCTTGGTGGAAGCAGTTTTCACCAAGAACAGAAAATTCCTTTGGCCATCTGAACTTTAAAGTAGTGCATGCTGAGCTGTTTCTCTCTCAGGATGGTTTACCAGGATATGGAACCATGCTGGGCCCCTTGATTTCACAGACTTTATCATCCCCTTTTGATCTTGCCTAGGAAGTGGAAGTGATGCTGCATCCCTCTTGACTTCAGCTAAACGACAAGGAGATCATTACATCCTCAATGGCTCCAAGGTACCAGCATGCTGTCCTCCTAGAGCAACTTGCTCCTGATATCCTCTAGTTTCTGAGTCTATGAGTTAATATTCCCATGCATTTTTACATGTTGGATAGATAAACTTTGACACATTTCTCTTTCTTCACCTTCACTGTTTGCTGCTTCCTATCAAATTCCAGATGATTTCATTCCTTTTTCTTTCTCCTTTTCATATTCTTTTCAACTAAATCCCTCCTCAGTCTCTGTGCCATACCTGTGTGTTCTATTTTTGGGAGGACTCACGTTGTTTCCCGGATGTTAGATTCAGAACTCTTGTATCCCCTGATCCCAATTCTCCCCCTTCTCCAATCCCACAGGCCTTCATCAGTGGAGGTGGTGAATCTGACATCTACATAGTCATGTGCCGAACTGGAGGATCAGGCCCAAAGGGCATCTCATGCATGGTTGTTGAGAAAGGGACCCCTGGCCTCAGCTTTGGCAAGAAGGAGAAAAAGGTGCGTGGTTATTGGACAGGAAGCAATTCAAATTATGAGGCTCCATCACCTGCCAGATGAACCTCTGCCTTATTTTATGAAATAGATTCACCTACTTGGTAACTTGCCTTTGAAGCAGTTGCTTCTATTAGAATTTTGACAGGGGCATATAAAATAGAATAGGGCATTTTTAAAAAAAACATTTAAGTTTCTGGGGAAAGTGACATTTGTCAATTAGTTACAAGCTAGCCTATTAACATCCCATCACCTCTCCTGCCTGTGCTTTTGGCTTATATTTCTTATCCAGCTCTTTTGCTGCTGTTTGTTGAGGATCTAATGTTGAATAAAAATCTTAGAAATGAAAAGCATATGGGCCACTTTTCTTATTTAAATAAAGTGAAACTCATTGAAGAGATTTTGGGTATTCTAAGGACAATGTTTCCATAGGTACTTTGAAAAATAAGGTACTCCTAGGATTAAGAAACTTTATAGCCAGGCCATGAACAGAGGTCTTGTGATAAGACAACTCTAAAGGTCAGATCTATTCAAATTCTTTAGCCTAGGTTGTCAAAAACAGCTTCTCTAACTCCAGTTGGTACTATTTTTGTTAGGACTTTTGGGGAGATGTTAGTTAATGAAATGGTCCCTGAATATACTTCTCTCTCACTTCTTCTAGGGTTTCCATATTTTCCTGCAGGATCCTTTCTTAACCCTTTGTAACTGTCAAAAGTTATGAGCATTAACCCCCTGCCTTTTGTAGCATAACAGGCATTGGCTAGATACCTATTATAAAACCTATTTCTATATAAACTCTTTACATTATATATATGATATATAAGTTATGTAGCTATAGAATTTCTCAGTCATAGAAATGTCTGTTTTATATAGTCTGATATAGTTCTACATAATCAAGTTATACTGATTCTCAGATATTTGTGCTTATAAAGATAGTGATGATTAGTAGTATCCATGCAATATTTGTGCTGTATGTTGGCAGAACACCAAACTAACAAGTTTAGTACTTTGAAAAAATTTACAGAGAAGTTCAATAAGCAAAGAGTGTATCTTATTACCCCTTCATTTATGTGCTGGTCACCTTTAAGCATACATATTTTTTATCGTTTTTTTAATTAGTTTTGCGTTATATATATTTAAGTATAAATAGGAAATTAAAAAGGACTTCTTTCATTAGACAACTCGTGTGTACCCATTGTGTGTCTTCTTCTAACTAATAGGAGGAGTACCTCAGTAAGCAAGACAGACATGTTTTGCCCTGTGAAATTTACATTTAAGTAAGTACCAATCACACAAATGAGGTACTTTCCTAATTTAGTGCTAAACATTTTGAAGGAAATACAACAGAGTGACCCCACCCTAACCGAGGAAGAGCTTTATTACACAGGGACAAACTCTTTGAGGCCATAACATTAAAGATGAGATCTCAAGTATTAGAAGGACCATCTCTGAGAAGAATTCTGGGCAGCGGCAATAGCAGATACAAAGGGCTTGAGTTAGGAATAAGATTAGCCTACTTGAAGGAACAAAAAAGAAAAAATTGGTAAGGCCGGAGTGTAGTGAGTATGAAAAGGATGATGCAGATGAAGTTGGAGATGTAATCAAAGTATGGTGGGCCAGGATAAGAAGGTATTCAGCTCCCCATTGTTCTTTGAGCTGTTTTGGTGGCCTAAGCAACAGGCCTTTCTCTTTCTTTGCTTCTTGTTAATCTTTCCTACAAAAACATGATTTCACTTAGCATATTTAACACACTGTATTGCTGATAGTTTTGAACTTAATTTGATAGTTTTGCATTAATTTGATGAAAGAGCAATAAAGATTAGCTTTATCTTAGACTTAATTATTTTGAGGTCTTATGTAGTTTTATCGTGGAGGAGTGGATGAGAGAATTTTTTAAGAGGGTAATAAGATAATATACACAAGAGGAGTCAAGTTTGAGCAGGATTGATCTGTGGTAGTAACTAATGGTCCACGTATTCAGGGTTCTCCAAAAATGTAGAGTGGAATTATCTGTCCTCACTAGCTGCTACTTTCCTGGGACTGATAGGATTAGAAGAGGATTGCTGTATGCATCGGAGAAGAAGGTAGATCTTTTCACTGTAAGGAGTTAAGAGGTAGCAGCTATTTTATGGCTTCTTTAGTAATTAGATATTCTTAGGTCAGAACTTTCTGTTACATTCTTTTTTTTTTTTCCCTCTGTTACTGGGAATTGAACCCAGAGGTGTTTTATCACTGAGCTACATCCTCAGCCCTTTTTATTTTTTTATTTTGAGACATGGTCAGTTGCCAAGACTGACCTTGAATTTGTAATCCTTTTGCCTCAGCCCAAGCAGCTAGGATTATGTAGGTGGTTACCATTAACCTTTTTGTTAGGTTATTTCCTTTAGGTATTTCTATTCTGTTCAAGGAGATAAAGTACATTTCAGTCAGTATTAGAAGGTTTCAAAGGAGCTTAAAGAAAGCAAGCTTAGTGATGATTTGGGTGACTAGGAAGCCCCAGAAACCTTCCTTTAAGCTAAGCTTTGATGGTGGTTGGGAATAAAGAGAAGTCCCAGCAGAAGGAGATGAATTATGAAAACCCAAAAGCACAGATACAGGCCAGCTGTTGAAGTAGAGATAAGAGGATAGCCCCAAATATTAGAAGACCTTCATAAGGCTTAGGAAAATGACAACAATCTAATGTAAAATGTTTATCTTATCAACTAAAGAGAGCTGAATGTTTTTAAATGAGGAAATGAGATAAAACCAATTGTGTTTTCAGAGACAGAAAGGAACCTGGGTATTTTATATGGCATATGGTTTTCATAATCTGCCTCATTAAGCCTCAAAGTTGAAGTCTTGGAGTACCTAGTTGAGGAGATGAAGGAGATTGAGTAGTAGTATTATTATTTATTTATTTATTTATTTATTTTTAATATTTATTTGCTTTAGTTTTAGGTAGACACAATATCTTCATTTTATTTTTATGTGGTGCTGAGGATTGAACCCAGTGCCTCACGCATGCTAGGCAAGCGCTCTACCTCTGAGCCACAACCACAGCCCAAGGGTCTTATTTATATGTGAAATATCTGAATGAGATTTGGTTTGAAGAAAGAGGTTCTGTTGACTTTCTAGTCCAACTTCTATATTTTCCATGGGAAAAATCAAATAATTTGTCCAAAAAATGAAAAATGAAACTTAGTAGTTGCATGACATGGACAAGTATTCAAAATTTGCTCTGGGCTTATGACTCACATATCCAGTGATACCCTAGTAAACCAACTCTCTGGGAAAAACAAAAGGCAATTCATATTTGTAGTTTTTGCTGATTCCTGTGATATAAATACTTCATCGTGACTGGTGTTAAGCCACCACTGTGATATCACAGAATGCTAGGTTAAGAAAAAAGTCCAGGCTCTCACGAGCTGATGCCAGGACATTACATGATTTCTCTGCAGCTAAATGCTAGACCAGGGGTTGCCAATACAGTGCATGGTATTCTTCCCTCTAATTTTAGTATCTTTTAGGAACACTAAACTTCTAAAAGAAATATGACTGTTATTAAGGTCTTTAAAAGTAAAATAAACTTGTCCAAATAAACGTAGTCTGTTTTTATAAAAGAGCATATTCACGGAGACACCAAAACTGAGGACAAATCCTGTCCTGATCCTACGAGAAGTTATGAGAGTGTTTGTGGAGATGGTAGTGTAGTAGGGTAGACATTAAAAAGTTGATTCTTTTTAATATGGTAAAAAAATGTTTTGCTGAAATAAGCATCTTTTTGAGTGTTGACAGGCCTTTAAATCTGAACTTTTTCATTTTCCTCATTTTACATTCTCATGGTCTAAGTCTCAGGGTGCTGGACCCCATGCTTCGCAGGCTTCTGTCTACAGGGAGGCCCACCCTATGTGGTGGATTGTTGGGCAGCCACCTAGTCCTTGATTTTTGCCAGGTGGGATGGAACTCCCAGCCAACTCGTGCCGTGATTTTCGAAGACTGTGCTGTCCCTGTGGCCAACAGAATTGGGAATGAAGGGCAGGGCTTCCTTATGGCCATGAAAGGACTGAACGGAGGACGGATCAACATTGGTGAGAGTGAGAAACAGAAAGTTTGGTGGTCCATTTTCAGAATATAGTATTTAGCCTTATTGGGGATGAATGATCCAATCAAAGCCGTTTTAACTCTAGCCCTTCCCTTTGTCTACCCCAATTTTAAAATTAGCCAATCAAGTAGATCGTGACCCTAAGCTCTTCTTATGAGGGCAAGAGGGAGCACTGCATTAGGGATAAAAGCAAGTGGATTGCCAGCCCAGGTATGTTTGCTAGCCAGGCTGGATAACATGCCCTTCTGGCAGAAGTAAAGTTTGCCTTGCCTACATACTTCTGAGCATGTTTGATTTCTTGTGGTACCTTGGTATTTCTGAAGGCAAGGAAAAGAAAATGTGGAGCAGGGTGAAGACCTGGGCCAGCAGCATTGTACTTAGGCTCAGTTGGAACTTTCTCACTACTTCCTCCAGCTTCCTGCTCTCTGGGGGCTGCTCATGCTTCAGTCATCCTCACTCGAGATCACCTGAAAGTCCGGAAGCAGTTTGGAGCACCTCTGGCCAATAGCCAGGTAAGGTCCCAGGTGATTTTGCATTTCCTTCCACTCTTTTGAACCATTCTAGGGCCCACATTCTGTAGGAGAGGGAGGCCATGATTAGCTCATGGAGCCAGAAACTATCTTAACCAGAACTTGGCATTTTTGTTACCAAGGATCCTGTTTAGGAGACAGTAGTACCAAAATGCAGGGCAAGCAAAAGTAGACACAGACCTTGTAAAACAGTAAGTTTTCATAGAGGAGGTAGGAGACTTTGAAACATCTAATTATTTAGAAAAGGCACCTAATTAGAGATGTCTTATCAAGGGTCACAGATCAGGTGCCCATCTAAGCCCCTCTATCTTGTCTGGTTCTCTTCTTTGCTATTGCTATAGTTTCTGCAATTCCAGTTAGCAAATATGGCAACAAGGCTGGTTGCCTCGCGGCTGCTTGTCCGTACTGCCGCAGTTGCTCTGGAGGAGGAGCGGGAAGATGCAGTGGCTCTCTGCTCCATGGCCAAGTTCTTTGCAACAGATGAATGCTTTGCAGTAAGTGAAAGGCCATCTGGCCCTCTTGGGATGGAACAGGGAGTACTTACTAGGCACAGGAATGTTGAATGTTGTGGGCAGTTTCTTCCCCACACTTGATAAATAAATAAAAAAGTCAAAGAGTTTTGCGAGTTTTGATTATTGAGAACTGACAAATTCAATATGTGGATTTCCTTGTTGTCTCTGTCTCTACAGAGCCCCTTTTTGGGTATGGGTGGTTAGCTGTGGGTTGTTCTTCCTCTTATGAGTTTACTGCAGGCTGCCATATTGGGGACTAGGGTGGGTAGGGAAGCCAGCTATTCCTCAGTCTTCCTGGAATCAAAGACAGCTGGTTCTGGTCCCTGCAGATCTGCAACCAAGCTTTACAGATGCATGGAGGCTACGGCTACTTGAAGGATTATGCTGTTCAGCAGTATATGCGGGACTCCAGGGTTCACCAAATCCTAGAAGGTAAAAATTGCAGAAGGTTATTCTCTTCCTTTCAGAATTGTAATAGGATCAGTGCTTTCTAGACTTTATACTGACTAGTTCTCAGGTTCCCATCAGGCCTTGTCTTTTGGATTTCTTCTTCCTTCCTTTCCTCAATCCTGCTTTGGAAGTGACTTGTTTGTGCATTAGAAAGGGCACTAGCCTGGGAGACAGCAGATGTTTTGTCTCCATGGGTAAGACATCAGATCACTCCGCTTCCCTTTTTTTCTTTGTAGATTTGAGAGAAGGTTCAAACTGAGATAGCATATGAGAAATCCCATTGAAAACTATATCAGTGGCTCCTCTTTACTATTATAAAGGATGTGGTCCTCAGGGATCCCAGAACTCTTTACAATAATTTACAAGCATATGTGAACCAGTGTGATCACCAGCAACTCTACAAATTGAATGTCACATGATCTGAAAGATGTGTGTATCAAATTTGGCAGTGAATTTTTCATTAAAATAAATTGTCAGTATATGGGTATCTTCTTGGTAGCCACAGACTTTCTCTCTGGAGAACATGTAAGCTGGTGGAGTCAGGCTTAGAGCATGGTTTTCTCCACTCTACAACTGCTGTATAAGTCCTAAAGCGATAGGGCTCTTATTGCAGCTAGGTAACTGGGGCTGTCATACTGTAGGAAAAGTAGATGAGGCTCTATAAGTGACTTTCAGCAAAACAGTGTGCGAGTTGCTTTAATTATGACCTAGGAGAAGCCTATGAGCACTAGCACCCTTGATTCTTTCAGAGCATCTTTCACAAACCTGAGCAGGCACCAGATCCTCTGGAGGACTTTTTAAAAACAGGTTGCTGGGCTCTAACCCCAGAGTGTCTGCTCTAGTGGGTTTAGCTTGGGCCTAAAATTGACATTTCTAACAAGTTTTCAAATGTGGCTGCTGTTCCTATTGAGGAAACTACACTGAACCCTACTGCTCTGATGTTATGTCTAAACTATAGGATTCTAAAGGTTAGCCTGCCACTTTTTACTACCCACCTATCTCTAGCATATGCTTACTGAACACAGTCCCTAGTTCTAAAATTACATTCACTAGAGTTTTATGAGTATGCAAAAATTTACTTTCATTCTGTCTTTTAATCCTGCTATTTTAAGTGGGAAAAAACAAATACCATTTATATCAGGTCATCTACTTATAGAAAAATTAGAGCACAGTTTACTTTATCACTTTTGCCATGAATTATTGACTAAATCCAAAATTTTAGATTTCACTTGGAGATTGTGTATATTCATTACTCAAGAGAATTTTTATTTCTCTTTGCATTAAAGGCCACTGCTAAAAGTGAAGCAAACAATTGACCCCTCCTTTCAGGGAAAATGTTTCCTTTTAAAGCTCCTTTTTCTGATTACTAAAGAAGTGTGTGTTTATTGTTGAAAATTTATAAGATATGTGAAAAGAAAACGGAAAAGATCACTTGTATTTCTACATCTAGAGTTAGTGTTTTGGTATATCTTTTTATGAACTTTTCATATGCTTTCATAGGTACTTTTTAAAAATTAGAATACTATTTTTATTCTACCTTTTGAAATTTGATACAAGCATTTTTATCATCAGAAGAGGTATTTTGAAAAGTAAATATTATTTCTCATTTTTTGTCATTTCTTTGAATTTTGGAGAGAAATTAATGATAACCTCATCCCTCCTAGGGATAGAAATGATTCTAATTTAAGTCCACCACTACTCTGCTGCTACTAAATCCTTCCTTTATTCTCTTGTCTTGCAGGTAGCAATGAAGTGATGAGGATGCTAATCTCTCGAAGCCTCCTTCAGGAATAGCACCCACACTTGATATTCTGGCATGGGGGGTCAGTGTGCAACTGCAGTCAGTGTAGAGTGTTTCCATTGTGGGCCCTTTGGTGCTAGATGAATTGTGGATTAGATTGAAATGTTGAGCTCTTGCATATGTGTTGATAGCAGTGTTGGCTCTTAGACTGGAGCAGGGTCCTCAGTAGAACTGGAAGAGCTGGTCTGATGAGAAATATCACAAGAAGACCTGCCACCTTATTTTCCTAATGCCAGAAAGATAACCAGTGAATATTCTGAACCAAAGTCTTGTTCTAGATCTGCATTGTCTTGATTTGTCTGCAATTTGCTGGTTCACTGGATCCTTTTACTAGGGGCCTGGGTAGATCCACTGAGGCTTTTCCAGACTATAGGGCAAAGGTGTGGGGAAGGAAAGAGAGAGAAAATTCCCTCCTGTCTTTACTTTTGTGTACCATAGCTCTTGGATAGCACTCATCTGAATGTAATCATGGTAAAGTGAATATTTGAGAAGCTATTCCTAAGCTATGATTTAGGGTGTGTCTCTTCTTTTGGATGCCCTGAATATCAAGGGCTGAGATTATTTGGAATTTTGAATATTTGGTTTTTCTTTTTCTTTTATCTATTATCTAAGAATAGTATTCAGAATTTCTGTAACACTTCCTGAGAAGAACTTTGAGTATATTTTTTTCTGAGTTTCATTTCCTTTTTTTGGAACTGCTTCTCTTTTTAAATATTTTTAATCCTTACATTGATCAATAAAATTTATTCCTTTCTGTACTGTCTCCAATTGTACTAATGTTGGGTTTTTTCCTAGTTTTATTTATTTTTCTTTACAACTATTTTTAAGATTTTTATTGTATTTGATTAAAAATTTAACTGCATTTTGGAATAATATCAAAAAATCATAGGCCAATTACTGTCTTTTAAATTATTAATAATTGCAAACTAATTATTGCTTATGAAGTTTGAAAGTAGATTTAAAGATAAGGACTTTTTAGGAAACCCTGTTATTATATTGATCATTATATTATTCCAAATCCTCATCTCTGTAGGAAAAAAAATATGCAAGGTAATAGAAAACAAAATATGCATCTGTTGCTACAACAAATATATTCTCCTTTGAATGCATCAAGAAAATTAGTGTGGTGGTAGAGCCGGGTATGGTACTACATGCCTGTAATTCCAACAACTTGAGAGGCTGAAGCAGGAGGATCACAAGTTCAAGTCTGGCTACAGCAACTTAAAAAGGGCTCTAAGCAACTTAGTATGAACCTGACTCAAAATAAATCTGGGAATGTAGTTCAGTGGTATAGCACTCCTGGGTTCAGTACCCCTCCCCACCCCACCCCACCGCAAAAAAGAAAAAAATAAGTTTCAGAGAGGAAAGAGCCAAGAACAAGAAAAGTACAGGGTTTGTGTGGGAGCTGTTGACACTTTTGCTTACTGTGATTTGGGCTTAGCATAGGACAGGAAAAAAAATTTTTTTTAAATAAAAATTATATATATATGCGCACACATGCACACACACAATATATATACATATACATATACAGAATCTGGATGACAAATAGTGAAATCCAAGAGTGGAGTTTTTATATGGTAGGCAAGGGAGAACAATGGAAAGTTTTTACTGAATAAGATTAGTTTAATTCATTCATAATACTATTCTGGAATGCATATGCCAGATGTATATGAGTGGGGAAAGACAGAGTGTGAGACATACCTAGTCCATTAGTTCTTGAAATAGTCAAGATATAATAAGAGTTTGAGCCAGTGCTTGGATATGACTTGAAAGATAAAAGGGAAGAATATATGGGAGCAAATATAGAGCAGTATGTAGAATGTCCATTGTGGAACTTGAAAACATCCATAATAATCAGACTTCTGGCATTCTAATTCTGAAAGACTTCTATTCTGACTCAAAGCAAAAACTGTTGTTAATATCTATTCACCTTAAGATTTTGTCAAAGTTACAATTATTAAAAATACATATCTTTGGGCTGGGGATGTAGCTCAGTGATAGAACACTTGTCTAGCATGTAAGAATGAGATTCTATCCCCAGCACTTGAGGTAAAAGTATATTTCTGTCACCCTCAGGTGTTATTCAGAGATTTCAGGAAAACCTATATATCGGGTGGTATAAAAGATGAAGGATGTATGCAGATAATCAGTACAACTTAGTTTGGACAGACCTATGGACTGGGAAGGCTGGTAAGTAAGAAACAGTTTCAGTATGTAGTGGCAAGAATAAAGACATGCATAGAATGTTCTGGACAGGAAATATCTTATATCTTATGATGATGGCCTAGGGCTGAATTGGGTTTCCAAGGATGCCTTGATGACTTTTCACCCATTATAATTATCATAGTATAATGATTTATCTCCCATTATAATATTACACTTGTGGGGGAAATGTAAATGCCTCAATTTATACACACACACACAACACACACACACACACGTACATTTTTTTTTTTACCTAAGAGAAAAATATTTAGCTCTCCTGTAAAATTTTTCTTTTTATCCTTTTAGATTTGATAAATTAGAAATATGCATTTACTGGTTATTCTTTTACATTGAAAATACAAAGATTGCTCCAAAGTGCTTTGCCGTGAATTATCTCTTTATCGTGATTTTCACAAGGATAACCTGCACAGAGTAGGCACTCAGGAGATACTTGTGTTAAATTGCTTGAATTGAGTAAGCTCTGTTGTAAACAGCAACTTCCAGTGTTGCTGGTATGTGCCGAAATGATTCTGGATTCAGACTGCATTTGCCATTAACTGTGACTTAATAGCCCTCTCTTTAGTTTATTTCCTCCTATGTAAATTGAAGGTAATAAAAAAGTTTCTACTTCCTAGGCTAGCTGGTGAATCAAATGAAAGAATTCATGTACAGAGTTCAGAACAGAGTATGGTAGACAAAACATTGTCAATAAATGTTAGTCAACATTTCTAAAATTCAGATTTACCACAGGCAGAAGACTGAACTTTTAAGCTTCTTTTTCAGGAACCCTTAAAATATTGAAAATTATGATTCATCTGCTTTTATTCCAGGTAAATGGTAAAATTACATTTCCTTTTTGCCAATTTTACAAGTACAAACGTGAAACATTAAGGTTTTTAAAAGGGGCCATCTAGGGAGAGGGAAGATGGCGGCGAGGGGAGTGCATTGCCCCCATGTGCTGCTTCACTGTGTGGGAGTATGACAAGTCAGGACGGCTAAAGGCTATCTTGTTAGGAATTTCCAGCAATAGTGGGGTGCTCCAGAACCTGGAGGAAGGATTTCCATCACACGAGGATCGGCTACGGGGACTCAAACGCGAGAGGTTTGTTGCACGGAGGGTAACACTGCTTATTCAGCAAATCGCCCCGCAGCTAGAGTCTGCAGCGCGCGCTGGGAAACGAGGAGATAGCGACGCAGGGATACAGCGCTGCAGTTTCTGCCAGCCGTGCAAGCATCGTACTCAGGGCTGAATTCTGGGTTCGAGACGGGGGAAGGAAGCGGTCCATCTCGGTTTTCCACACCGGTCAGACCACAGAGGAGGCCAGCAGCCACCATGTTGGAAAGCTGATGTCACCATCCCTGTTTTCGACTGACCGCAGCTCATTCAGCCATAGAACAGGTAATTTCAGGCTGCAATTCGCCTGCGGCTTGCAGACAGATTGCTAGGGTTCAGTGCATGGGTGCTTCTTAGAACCTGATCTTATCGGAGCGAACACCTAGCGCGGGGCGGCCGAGTTCCGGCTCCCGGAACCGCCCTGGCCCAGGGCTGCGGAGACTGCGGAAGCTACTTCTTGGACCCTGCTCCTATCAGAGCATACACCAAGCACTAAGCGGCCGAATTCCGGCTCCCGGAACTGAGCCCGCGGGGACTGCTTCTTGGAGCCTACCCTTATAGGAGCTTACACCGAGCACGGAGCGGCCGAGTTCCGGCTCCCGGAACTTCCCTGGCCCAGGGCTAGGAGCCCGCGGAAACTGCTTCTCGGTCCGGGTCCTGCTGAGGGCCGGTCAGGACTCACCTGTTGCTTTGGTTGCCCGGCAAGGGGAACGAAATGCTGCCATTCGCACAGGATACCAACATGGCAGAGATCTGATGTCATCAGAAAGCGGCGGAGGAGAGAACTTCATCAATACCAGCGGCGACAGTAACAGTTGGTCTCCTGGTAGGGGGGGTAAGGCACAGACACCTGAGTCTCCTCAATTTGTCATCGAGCCAGAGGGGAGGAGCCGGGCCGCCGCCAGCGCCTGGAGCAGGCCCAGCAGCTCGCCAGCGTGGTGACCGCGTGACCCCAATTGGAGAGGGGGCAGAGCGGAGCCGCCACCCGCACCTGCAAGGTGGGCAGACCCGTGACCCAGTGGTACATGGGCGTGGTAGGAGGGGCAGGGCAGAGCCGCCATTCGCGCTTGCAAGGTAAACAGAACTGTGACAGCCTGGAGGGTCAGGCCCAGTGGCCTGCCAGTGTGGTACACACGTCACCCCAACTGGAGTAGGGGCAGAGCAGATCCTTCTCCCACACCCGGATCAGGCCCTGCCGGTGTGGTGGCCACGTGACCCCAATTGGAGTGGGGGCGGAGCGGAACCGCCAACCATGCCCGCAGGGTGAGCAGACCTGTGACCAACCTGCAGATCAGGCCCAGGGGTCCACAGGCGTGGTAGGAGGGGCAGGGCAGATCCGCCGCCCGCGCCTCCAAGATAGGCAGACCTGCAACAGACCGGCGGATCAGGCCCAGGAGCCTGCCGGCGTGGTACACACACCACCCTAATTGGAGTAGGGGCAGAGCAGAGTCGCCGCCCGTGCCAGGAACAGGCCCAGCGTCCTGGAGGCGGGGTAGTCACGACACCCCAATTGGAGTAGGGGCAGAGCAGAGCCTCCACCCGTGCCCGAAAGGTGGGCAGATCTGCGACCGACCAGCGGGACAGGCCCAGTGGCCTGCCGGTACGACAGACATGTCACCCCATTTGGAGTAGGGGCAGAGTAGAGCCGCCGCCCGCGCCTGCAGGGTAGGCAAACCTGCAACCAACCGGTGGATCAGGCCCGGTGGCCTGCCTGCATGGTACACTCGTCACCCCAATTGGAGTAGGGGCAGAACAGAGCTGACGCCAGCGCCCAGAACAGGCCCAGTGACCTGCCGGCGTGGTAGCCACGACACCCCAATTGGAATAAGGAGAGAGCAGAGCCGCCGCCAGTGCCTGCAGGAAAGATACGCAAGCAGTATGAAAAGACAAGGAAAGAAAGGACCACAAGCAATGCAGGTCAACGCAACTTTAGAAGAGGTAACAGCTGCAGCAGATGGAATGTCAGATAAAGAATTCAGGATATACATGCTTCAGACGATCTGGAGTATCAAGGAAGACATTAAACAGCAAAATCAGACAATGAAAGATCACTTCGACAATGAATTATGCAAACAAATCCAGGAAGCAAAGGATCAACTATACAGGGAGATAGAGGTTATAAAAAACAAACAAACAGAAATCCTAGAAATGCAGGAAGCAATAAACCAACTTAAAAACTCAATGGAGAATACTACCAGCAGAGTAGAACACTTAGAAGATAGAACATCAGACAATGAAGACAAAGTATTTCAACT